CTTGCTCTGTGGTTCAGGTCGCTGTACACAGCTGAACTCGCAGGCTGTGCCATGGTGATCTTTCCAACGCGTCGACGATGAGTGAAAATTCAAGATGAATTATGAGTCGGAAACTACAAATCCACAAGAAATCGTGACTGTCGAATTGCCACCGTCTTTAAAAGCCGAGCAGCACAAAGAGGTTGCGCCGGTACCGCAGTAGCCCGTGTCCAGGCAGCACAAATGTGGTGTACAGTGTGCGAGTCTGCATGTGCCTGCACTCCGCTCGCGTGCCTGCTGGAGCTGCGAAATGGATGCTGCTGTGGCACTCTTGATTGTGATTGTGGGATACATGACCTTGCCAGTCACAACTCACGCATGTCCAATATGTGTCAGCAAGGCAGCAACACATATGTGTCCACGCCTCGTGCAGAAATGTGCACCACAGCATCATGCTGTGCGCGTACAGCTCGAGATACTCGGTCAGGACGACCGCGGCTACTCGATCACAGGAGCGCATGTGCATGTCCGTTGCAAAATAGGTACGCTATACATTCTGCTGGAACCTGATTGATTCAATTGCAATATTCAGCCCTCGGCTCCGTGGTTTTAGGCTCTTGGCCCGCAGCAATCGTGAATATCAAAGCAGGTATGGGCTGCTGATAGCACGCAAGACTTGATCGAAGTGGGTCAAGTCAAGCAGCGTGGATCGAGCTAGGTCGATCATGTTCACCATACCTGGCAGCTGGGACCAGGCGCTGCTTGCTCTCCATCTAACCTTGGTGGGTGGCGAGAGTACTGAGCATTTGCAGAAAGTAGGTGCGTAGAGCATCCAAAGTACGAGAGCCATCGGTATAGCTGCCACATCACTTGTCCGCATCAGGCCCGGGGAGTTTGTGCGACCAATCTTGAACCCTGTGGAGTGCCGTCATGGCAAGACGAGGCAAGCGACGATTTACGCTCATGAAAAGTATAAGAAGGCAGTCATCGAGCTCGAAGTTGGAGCACACAACTCCTCTCAGCAGACAAACGTAACGCAAGCTCTCTGGACACAAACTCACTTCCATCATCCCACTACTGTCCACTTACCGCTACCAAACAAGACAAGATGCAACTTTCTATGCTCCTCGCTGTCGTCATTGGCGCTGCGTACGCTCAAGCTGCCCACCACATCAGCTTCCAAGTGTCCGGCTGCTCCACTGCCATCATGCAGGTTCCTGGACGTGGCGTCTTCGGCGCTGGAGAGTACGACTTTGACGGAGATGTCAACGGTGAGTCACGTGTGCTGAGCGAGACGTCCTTCTCGTCGTGTAGCCACTGGCGTCGCAATTTGCTCACAGTATCCTCTGCTATTTACACCAGGCATCATCGCATCTGCCGGCAATGTCGCGTGCACCCAAGATA